AGGTGAGAATTGAAGATGAAGCATTGCTATTCAAAGAAATTTCTAGTTGTAAAGTGCAACCAATCCTAGTATAAGTAGCTAGAAGTCTCTGAATTTTCTGCTCTCCACCACCAAAGCTAGAAGAACCTGGAGTTTGCAAGCTTCTAATTTTATGGTGGAATTATCTAGATTTCAAAGCCATCGATATACGCTACTATAAATATGGTCTATGAGATTGAAGAGAGAAACTATAAAAGAATTGAGGAGAGAAAGAAGAGTTGAGCAAATGAATTGGTGTTGTCTTCCTTTCGTAAATAATATTATAGTGGTTAGCGGTCATGGTGTGTGTATACACATTGTGTAATTCTATTTTGCTAATAAAATCATTTCCTTTCGTTTTTAAACTCTACATTGAGGCTCCAAGGTAAGAACCGTTATTTCTTTTTTTCTCCGTCTCTCTCTTCTCTTATACTCTGTTCAGGCCCAACGTGGGCTGGGTGATCATGGTGGGGCATATTCAATCTGTAAGACTGCTCAAACCAAATCCCATGGACCAAACCTTAATCTAGAAAATCAATGTCATCCTCTAGAAATGCAGCCATGGGTAATAATAAAGCAAGCTGTTTATTAAGGTTGGACTCCATTTCCATTTTAAAACAAAATCGTTCACAGGAAATGTCAATAAGCTCAACTAAGCTACCAAATGAAAACATTGCCGATATATAAATCTCATTGCTAAAATCAAGGGAGCATCGAGTTATAAGAAGCAGTCCACCACCAATTAGGCAAAGGTTTTCCAAACCAAAAGGTTTGAATATAAATAAGACCACAAACCACAATGTCATAGTATGTCAGATGCAGCAAATGGAAGTCAGGTGCATCGCCAGTGCAAGCTTCGATTACAAACTTGAATGCAATTCAAGTTCATTTGAAAGCTCAGGTGTAAAAGAGGAGAGGCAAGGAGTTCTTTGGAAGAGATTGAAACAGGGATGAACCGTTCTTTGGGAAAGTCCAAAATTAAGTTCCTGTATGTCCAGGCAACGACATAAAACTTGCAAAATTTAGGAATGAAACTGTGACTATGTCTGCCGGTGTGTTAGACGAAAATTAAATATAAACCCAAAACAAATTTCTTCAACTAGATATCAAAATAAGAAACCCTGTGTTCAAAATATTCTCTTACACCAGATCTCAATAAAAGAACTTAAAAGGAGGAAAAGAAAGTAACCGTAACATAAACATATAAAACAAAAACCTAAAGCATACAACAAAAAACTACAGTGATCGCGCAGAGAAAATTAAAGTTTAAGAAAAAAAATCAATCCGGACCGACACTAAAATCCTAGATCTAATTCACATAATACCCAAAAGAAATAAGAAAATACAGAAACGATAAATACAAAAACCGTACGTGTAAATGAAGAAATTCCAAGTATGTGTAAATAATTAAGAGGAATAATTGGAAACCTGAACGGCGCTGTGGAAGATGCCACCGACACCAATACCGTCCTTGAAGATCTTATTGATCTGCATAATTGTATTATTGGTCTTATCAGAACCGCTATTCGTCACATCATATACATGGAGGATCACCTCCGTCATCCTCAATCCCACAATTACCACTTCAACACTCTCAATTCAAAACCGTAACCCCCTATTCTCCGTCTTGCTCCCTATGTAACAAACTTCTTACACTTTCCCCAAATTAAGGAATAAAATCAATGATTGCGAAGGGTGAGAGTAATCATAATCGTTTCTTGGCGCTTATGGGATTTTCGTAGTTTTTCCGGATTTACATGGACGCTGGTGAAATGAAATCAGTAGTTGGGCCTGTAAATGTTGAAATGTTGAGTTGTGCTACACACGTGGTGCCCCTGCCTTGCTTTGTATATTGTGATAACCTGGTGAAATGGGCTGCAAATTATTTGTGAAAATTGTATCCATTGTCCTAGATTTACACAATTGGTTTACCGTTTATGTAATTATTTTTACGTACATTATAATTGATTAGAATTTTCTTTAAGTAAAGAAAAAAACAAATAAAAAAAAAATTATCACTCTCTCTTTGACAACTCATCTATATTTAAACTATTATGTAACTATTTATATATAAGTAACATTATTCTTAAAATATTTTTTTAATTTTAAAAATTTTAATTAAAAATTTTAATTTTACTTTTAATCTAAATCAAAATTAACAATTAATTTCAATCGTATATTTCATGGGTCTATAATTTTCAACTAAATATTTTATCAACTTTTATCAAAATCTAAGCAAAATAAAACAATACAAATCAAATTATGTAGGGTGCCACTATTTTCATGTCATTGTTATATATTTATCGACTTTATATATATTTAATTCTATGTAAATCTACTTAAATAGACAAGAATAAAATAAAATATATCGCTCTAAATTCTATAATTAATATTTATCCTCATTAAATGATTTTGAGCCATTTACATTTTTTTTTAGATTTTACATTTAACTAAAGGTATCATTCTATTATAAACTAGATAGAAAAAGAGATAATAAAATAGAAAAGCTAATGAACTTGTATATATTATATTGCGAATCAAAGGCTCATATTTATAGGGAAAAATTGGGAATACTATGATAATAATGACTAGGATTGCAATGATATAATTGTCATTTACTAATAATCCTATTATTTACAACACTCTCATATTACAAAATATCTAGCTTACTAAAAATCTTATCAACAAAATTCAATAAGACAAAACTTGATCGAAGGAAAAGGAGTACAGTTGATCCCCCTAATTTAAATTTGTATCAACTTATCTTTATCTTATACATCAATGTCTTCAATATTACAATTTTTGGTGAAATATATCTCATGTTTTGTTATTTAGTTTTCAAACAACACAGTCTTCATGCGAGATAATTATCAACCTTTAATGATTATAGTAACATGAAAATTCGAGAGATAACTCTTATTGGTCTCTTCGGGAGTATCATACATATCAAAGTATTATTTTGAGGGTTTGTATGTTATGAACATTCACTAAGCAAAAAATGTGCCTCCTTAAAACTTTTATTCGGAAAAATCATGTGGAAAAAAATTTTAATGAAGGAAAAAGAGTACATTATTCTTTTGAATACATTATAAAAGTTATTCCATTAAAAACTTTGGTAGGAAACCCCAATGGAACAAAACCTTGATTAAGGAAAAAAAAGAATATAATGCGTATTTACTCGACTCATGATAATCTTACTAGAATTATATGCTTCATTAATAGCCATCCCAGATGCATTGGCTATAATCGATTTTATTATATGCATATTAAATTTCATACATTGTTCGATTAATAAAATGGAGTCCTATGATTACATTCACTACATGATAATTTATCTATTTACACAAGCTTTCGCAAAATTCATTAAATAAAGAATCATACATTTCATATTATGACCTTACTTTTCGTATTTTCATTTCACATAAACATACACTTTTAGGTGTTTGGACTTTAGATCTAAAAACTTTAAGTTGCTCTATAAATTCAATTGGCTAGAATTGTGTTCATTTATTTGGCCAATTATTTATTCGATTGATATATTTGTAACGAATTTATTTCGATTTCTCACTATTCATATATGATGCAACATATCATGTACAAAAGTGTTGTCGGCAATTTTTTTTTCTTTTTTTGATTCTTTTTATTTTGTATGACGATATAACTTATAAAGATATCTCAATTTTCAGTATATCAGGTCCTTGAACCTCTTCTTGAATTTTATAATTTGTTATGCCTAAATACTCATCAAAAGTACATACCTCCTTAAATGGACCATCTTTGATAATTGCATTTTTGTTTGGAGATTTTTATATTAGAATCAAGTATCATCACGCTTCAGGTGTATCATAAATTTATCAATTATTTTCAATATTGTATAAAGGTTAAAACTGCTCATTTATTCTCAGCATTCTTTGCTTTTTATCTCAATGTATTACGGTGGATCAATTTTACATATATTGTACTATCAAAATAATTAAATAAAAAATTAAGCTCTTACCATAAATCAATTATAACTGGGTTTATGATATTAGTATGATAGGTAATAACATTCCCCAAACAGAAGTAGGAAGTGTTTTGTTCTCAATTAAATTAATTGAAGGCGTTTAACAATCAATAATGTCAAATCATTTATCAACATTTTAACTAACACTTATTTAAATATTGAGATTTATGTTCACTAACATTGATAAGACACGTTATCTTTATTATGTAATTTGAAAATTATGCTCATCATTTAAAATTTGAGCAATTATTTCACAAACTTAAGGTTGTAAATACAGTGCAAACATCTAGTAGATGTATTAAATTTTTTTAGATACAAATAATATCTACATGGTCGATATGGAGGATGATAGGAGCCCATAGATCCTTATTATTTTTCAAAAATATATGAAATTCAATCCCTATTTTAGCTAATGATGATCAATATCTATTTTTAATAAAGATAGCAAATAACATATAGAATTCATTAGAATAAAGAATCTTCTGATTCTTAATTGAATGTTTAATAGAGTCACCAGTAGACCTGAACATCATTTGGTGTTTGTAATGTTAAAACAAAGAGAAGACATGTGGCCAAAATATAAATAATGTGTTTATGTGCAAAAAAAAATTCTCTTCTTCTATGGATGGACCAGAACTCTCACAATCTGCCAATGAAGGTTAGAGAATAGAGTAGTTATATGGTAAAGTGATAAGTGTTATAATCTAGGCCAACAAATAAGATTAATTATAATAAATTTTGATGACTTATGATTTAATTAGATATTAATTTTGTTTATTAGGTAAAACTCGAGGTAAATTGGTCGAATTGAAAGAAAGAAACAAAAAAAGGGGACAAAAGTGAAATTCAAAGTTCGAATACTGAAGTGTAAACATATCAATAGTTGATCGGACCATAATATGGTGAGTGAAGATCACATATGATCAATTGGATACAATTGGAGGTCAAAATAGTGAAATATAGCCGCCAAAGTGTTCTCATAAATCAATTTTCAGTCGAAAAAGTTATGCTCCGAATTTTTAGCCTCAACTTGAGACCCATTTTTCAAATGGAAAATGTTTGAATTGAAAATTTGTACTCAAAAATTTGTAGCCATTTGAGTTATATTTTCAACATACTTTGAATCATTTCAATCGAAGATCGAGAGAGAAAGTTACGATAGAAAATCGAAAGCTGCTTGAGGACGACATGAACAAATCTACGTGCACACTTGCTATTTTGGTGCGCCGCAAGGCATCAATTTCATGACCTGAGAGCAAGTCATCAAGCTTGTGGAAGCACAATAGTTATTCCTACATGTGTGCGCTCAGGCTAATTTTCTCCTAACATGCCAATTTTTTTCTTAATTCAAACTTTTATTGGTAACAACTTTGGGAATTTCTTGACCTAAATTCGATCCCTACAAACAACAAGGGCTACACATTGGAGAACTCTCACTGACCTCTTCATATGCAATAATATCATCAAATTTAGTAAGAACAAGATGTCAATTCATTACATTTGGGAGAAAATATCGAGCCCTAGCAAGAATTCAATGCCAATTACATCAAGAAATTGAAGAATTCAACTTTGAAATTGAAGATCAACATCTTTTGTACCCTTTTCATGATCCATGTGATATTTTTTTCATTGTTCTTCTTGTAATTTATTTAAAATCATGTTAGACTGGATCTATTTTTTGTATTGAATGAAATGAACCTTATTGTTTATTTGTTTTAAAATCAAGATTAGTAATTTAGTTTAATTCTTGTATTTCTTGATTAATTTTGCATACTCATTACATTATTTAATTATTGGTCACCAGTTAGATAATTAGTTGCTTGTTATAGTTTGGAAAACTCACAATTAATTTCAAACGCAATAAAATTAATATATTTACAATAGATATTAGGAATAACATTTATTACTTGTACAATCATTTAGATAATCTAAAATCTAATACGTTCTAACCATTCGAAATTAGGTTAGAAATAGATTCGAATTATGGTTAGGATATAATTAATTTGTCTTAGAATATAAGTTAAATACATTGACTTTATTTATTGTAAAAAAATGTATGAACGTAACTAGATTATAAATAAAAAATTGAAATAGATAACAATAGCATGAAGTCAAAATCCAATATAATCATCTATAATTTGATCATCAAAACCAAACTTTTATTACTTTCTTAGATTAATTTAGCAAAAATCAAATCAAAATCTCTCTATTATGTTTTATATAATTCTAATTCCGTACATAGCTAGTAAACGTAAATTGAAATTTTTTCCCTAGGGAACGATAGTCCCAACTCACTAAATCTATTATTGTCAATGATCTCGTACGATTGCGGGTTTCGCACGAACAAAAAGAAAAGCAAATTCATCAGTGCTTTGAAACATCTAAGTTTCTTACATCTTTGTCTTGGACGTCCAGATCGATTGTCACCATTATGAACTTCACTTTGGTGTTAGTCAAACAATCATATCTAAAAAGGAGCAAACAACGAGAGCTAATTAGGGCAAATACAAGTGGAAAGATGAAACACCAAACAACATTTTCACCATCAATAATATTGATGCAAGAGTTTCATGCTATTTTCTCCTCTCTATCCAATTTTCATTAATAAACTTAAATAAGGAATCAAGCATATGAGTATAGTTATACTAAACGGTGACGAATATAATAGTTTTTTTTTAAAAAAATTAAATTGTTAATATGGATAGATTTAGAGTGTGATAGATATATAAAAATGGTGTGGATATATAATGTTAAATGAATGAATTTAATAAGGATAATATTAGAATACAAAATGGATGAATATAGTCCTTAAAATTTTAAAGAATAATATTGGAATGTAAAAT